AAGGAGTATGGCACAACTGTAAACCTACCAAGACAAGGCCGTCCACCTAAACTCACAGGCCGAACAAGGAGAGCGCTGATCAGAAATGCAGCCAAGAGGCCCATGGACGGGCTGCAGAGATCTACAGCTCAGGTGGGGGAATCTGAACAGTCATTTTAAGATTAGCTAGTAAATAACAATTACCTAATGTGGTTCATGAGACTAAAGTCATCTCGCTTTGGTAATGTAAACATATTATGGCCAAGTTATTATTTCAATCAGCATTAGTTATTACAGCAGTGAATGATCTCTGTTTCAAATACTGAGCTTCAGTAAAGATTCACGCTGCATTTATTTATATTTCCTGTCACCTTAAATCTTCATTCAATGACAGTTTTCTTTGACACTGTATATATAAATGTATTATATATAAGAGACAAATATTGTTCTTTCAATATGTTGGCATTACTAAATTTCTCTCAGTGCTTACTTTAAATATCCATGAAATCATCACATTCTCTGTAAGATTAAGGTTGACTATTGAACGGTGTATATTTTAAAGTAAAGGCTTTAAAACCAAGTTAGTACAAACGTCACTAATGTCACATAACTCTGCTGACATGTGGCCAACAGTAATGTTTTAATGTTCTTCATTGTTAAACATTTGCACATAAATAAGTGACATAATATTCAGTACTTACTTTTAAAAGTTTACTCTTCGGGCACCCCCCTTCCGCCGTTTTTTTCCGGCAAAATTATCCACACCCACCGCCACGCTATGCATTCTGGGATATGTTGGGCCACGAAGTCTACACCACCACATCCGTAAAATTCAGGGAAATGAAGGACTCATTTGAGCTCCACATTTTGAGCAGCCTTTGAATTGAGACAGCCTTCGTCGCGTCGCTGTGACGTAATCGGCCTTAAAATGCGGCCTTTAAGGCTGCAGCCCCTGAATTGGGATACAGCCAATGATGAACCCAGAAAAAGCAGACAGCACTACCTTTGTCCAGTCAGTGGGCTGTCAGCCCAACACCTCTGAACAGACCATCCTGGTCACCACAGGATCAACTATAATGAGTTTGTTGAGCTGCTAACAATGGAGGATAGGCACCAATGTGTTCTGTTCTGTTATACATGATCCTTTCAAACAGCAGTGCTGTGCACTCAGTCCAATCAGTGGGGCTTCTTATGCTGCATTTAAATTTAAAAAGGGACAGTAAGACAACTTCAGCTGGTTATCTTGTTAAAAACCCAGTGTTGGATCGATTCAACATCCACACAACAGTTTGACTTTCTTACAAAATTTAATGGACTTAACTTAAAGTTGTATTTCTGGATTTTCAGACGGAGAAGCTTTTTAGTTTCTGAGGCATCACTTTATGTGCCCTCTATTGTCCAATGATGGGATAACAGAGCTTTGAGACAAATGCTATATTTTCATATAAATATGCAAAACACAAGATGTATAAACAGGCTGGCTACAAATATTACTAGTCTGGTGCTCGTCTGTTGGGATGCTAGCATGCTAAATATTGTATTATTTCCATAAACAACATAAATGTTTTATCATCTGCAAATATTTCTGAAATCTTTCAAAAACTTGTTTAAAACTAAAAATTATATTTTATTTATGAGCCAAATAACAACTGTTGACATTTTTACACCCAAATCTGAGGCGACAGAAAAAACATAACATTCAACAGATAAAACAAATATTTATTGTTCATTGATGAAAATTGAAAAACTGTAATTTAGCATCTTAATCAAAAATAATAATAATAATGCGCTTGACTATTTTTCATCTTTTTTGGAAAACGGTAAATGTGGAAATTCATGGATAAAAAAATACTTAATTTTTATTAAGGAACTTGCACATACTGGTAGATCAACAATTACAGAAACATAAAACCACATTTTGATAATTACCAGTTCTGTTAATTTGGGGTAGCTGGGATCTAAATCTTCCTTTGAGTGGTGGTCTAATAAATTTGTTAAGCACTGTAGATGTTTAATATCACCAAAATTATCTGATTAACTGTTTTAAATTCAATTTTTTCCTGAAGTCACTGTCAGCTCTTTCTAAAGAGGGCAGAAAAAATTTAAATATGCATCATAAAAAAAGTCTTTTGCATTCACCAGTTTCTGTCTCAGCTGTAAATTGACATTACGGGATTTCAAAATAAAAGTTCCACTTTTTCTACACATTCTCACTTTTTTTGCAAGCTCTCACATTTTACAACATATTTACCTTCACAGTTTTATTTTTCATGTTCATTTTAAATGTTATGTTTATTTTAAATATCTTAGAATTTAATAGCTGCTTAACAGTCTGCTTGGTGAACATGAACTAAATACAATCTTAGCATCTTCAAGTAATAAAGACATATGTAGGCAAGAAGCCTGGGACCCATTTTAGACCCTTGGCAAACTGTGTGATAATCTGTTCACCGAGGATTCCTAAACACCCATAGATATCCACACATGCATGTCCAAGTAATTGGGTAAAAAGGAACATAACATAATAACGGGCACGTACACAAACATACACACAGGAATATATCTGTGTGTACACAAATAGTTCAGAGATACCAATAAGTAATCCACACATGTACCGAATGGGCATAAAACTCCCAACTTTTCAAACACACACACTTTTCTCACACTCCACCAACCACAGTGTTTAGTCTCTGTGCTGCCTCGGCTCACATAAATTTTTAAAGGAAGGCTTTTATTACGCTTTGGTTTTATTTCTGAGTAATGCCCCCGTGCATCTCTGAGCAACTATTCCAGCAGGGGAGTTTATGAGCATGCATGATATTTGCTGAATGCAATTACATTCCAGCATGGTTGTTGGTTTGCATCTGAAGGTGCAGCGATGATGCAGAGATATGACAGGGAGGACTGTGTCCCGCAGTCTAATGTTGTCTTAATATTCACACTGCATTGTGTACTGGAGGTGTGTTTCCTCTCATCACTGAACAGAAGCATGGCTGCAAAAGACTCTCGGGAGTGGATGGAATAGTAAATAACCCACACTTTAAAACATCAGTGAAATGAACTTTTGTCATTTCTTGTTGATGTCAAAATTACAAAAATATCAGTGGTGATGCAGATATAAAGTGCGAACGCTGTTCTACGTTATGTCCAAGATGTTCACCTTGAAATAAAGGAGGACTCTTTGTTAATCTGACAGTAATCATGAACACACATAGTGTCCCCTTTTTGTTAAAGTCCCAGTGGTGATCTGGACACTTCTGAAGCAAAAAAGTAGGAAAAACTCAGGGGTAAGAGGCGCCACCTGAATAGCTGGAATCTGTATCGTGGGTTGTACTCACTAACCCTTACCTTATATTGTCTTAAAGATACACCACACAATTGTGACTGTTACAAATCTTATCCTGGGCATCACTCAGGTATGGAAAAATTACAAAAAAGTAGTAACTTTGAGTTTTTTTGGTCTTCTTTGTGCCAGGATTTGGTAACCAGTTAAAGGACTGAAAGAAATCATACATCAAATGTAATTTGTTTATGACTGATAAAGAATTGTGTGTCAGAAAAAGAAAACCATCAATGATAAACAAAAGTGTACTCTCAGTTTGAATACATCTATGTGTGTCTGAGTGGCGTCATTCATATCCAGCGTGCCAGAAGTTTCCCAGCCTGGATCTAAACTCACACCAAAACACACTGCAACACAGCGCACACCACACAATGTTCAATTACTGCGCTCAGCATCCCCTGGAGTGCTGCATGATTGCTCCTTTAAGAGAACCTATTTGATACTGTACATTACACAGGGAGCCAAAGGACATCGGTCATAGCAGAGAGGAACACCAGGTAAACAGGATGCAGAGCGGTTATGGAGAAGGAGAGGTAAGAAGGTAATTTACTGCTTTCAGACTACTGTAGGACTCAGACTGCTGCATCTCTGCACCAACAGGACACAGAGGCGTTTTGTTCAGGGTACAGTCAAACAAAGCTGGTGTTGTTGCCTGAACTCTGTGTTTGTGGAGCTGACGGTTTTTATTATAAAAAAGAAGCTAAAATCAACAATATATTTATCCTGCTAACAAATATTCTACATTCAGTCAAAGACTGATGCTGTTCTCTCAGCTTATACCTGCTTAAAAGGATCCACATCACATTTCTTTACACAGTAAATTACAAATTACAAACTATCGCACTAGTAAAATATAATAAGGTATCTTTCTAAATTTAATGAGGTTAAAAATAAAAGAGAGTCATAGATTAGAAAGTGAATACTTGATAAAGCTTCTTTCAGTCAAATTATTCATGTTTAGTATCACAAAGAAAGATTAAATAGGACCTATCATGATACTCCTTCTTTCCTTTCATCTCCTGTTCCCATAGAGGACGTTCATATTAAACATGTTTCAAATAACGAGGTCACAGTATGTCCAAGCACTTCCTGTGAGACAGAAGCTCAGGCTTTAGGCTGCTCGAAATGCTTAGTCTCAGGCTGGATTTTATATTCTTAACACTTTTTAAACAATACGTTTTCAAGCAGATAAATACAGATTATTTAAAAATGTGAATCATGCAAAGTTCCTTTTGTGGACTCCAGAAAAACTGTAAGCTCGTCTGTTAGGCCAAGTTAGACCGACAGTTTCAGAAGTGCTGCATGATTTAATGCTGTCGCTGTTTTTCTATTTTCAGACTCTGAATCTTTACCTGCGTAAATCTTTACCTTTGGTATCTTGCTGCTGCTGTCGTTTCATAAAGGAATGAAAATAAAAATCAGTAGAATCTCTCTCCTCAACCAGTCGCGGCAGATGGCCGTCCCTCCCTGAGCCTGGTTCTGCTGGAGGTTTCTTCCTGTTAAAAGGGAGTTTTTTCTTCCCACTGTTTCCAAAGTGCTTGCTCATAGGGGGTCATATGATTGTTGGGTTTTTCTGTATGTGTTATTGTACGGTCTACCTTACAATACAAAACACCTTGAGGTGACTGTTCTTGTGATTTGGCACTGTATAAATAAAACTGAATTGAACTGAAAACACAGAAATATTCAAATCCAGCTCCAGTGAGTACCATGAGCTTCTTTCTGATGGTGTCTTATTTCAGATGAGCTGTTAAATGCAGTCTCTTAAATATCGACCTTTGCGTGTCTTCGTGATAACATCTCAGCAGGTGTCTCTGCGTTGCACTCAGAGGTCTCAGAAGCATTTAAAAGTGAAAGTTTGCACAAGAAAAAAACAAAAAACAAAAAACTAAACATTACTTGGCCCAAAATAGTATTTATTCATGTCATAAATCCTAATACACAGCCCAATATTCTTGTAATCTTTACTCTGGCGCTGAATATGATCATCTGGTGACAGATGAGACAGTGAAACTTGCTTATTTCCCCTTTTTCCTTTAAAAATGACACTTTAAAAAAATGACATTTTGGGTTAATAACATCTAAAAAAGGCTTTAAGAATAAATTGAAAACTGTGCTCAGAGCTGAAAGAAAGGACTGACTGATGGAGTTAAAGTGAGAAAAGAAAGAGTTCATGACCACAGATGACATTTTCCCCCCAAAAAAGGTGTTTATAAAGCTGAGTCTTCACACGTCAACAGACAGCAAAAGCTGGTTTCTAAAACTGAGAAAGAAGAGGAGGGGGAGGAGATGAAGAGGAGAAGTGTGACATCACGTGCGGTCCTGTCAATGCGATCACATCACCTAACTGTCTGACCTTTGAGACTGAGCCTTAAAGAGTGAAGCCGAGGCTGTTTCCCCTCCGTCCTGTCTGAGAGACGGCTGTCTGATCTGCTCACAGATGACTCAGTCAGCCGCAGGTACAGACACAGCTGTCTCCATCGCTTTGTTGATTTGTGTTGGAGTTCTGTGCTGTAAACGTGTCAAACTATCATGTAGCACTACATCCACATGACTGCACAAGTTTGACACTTTAGCATAAAGACATTTTTAAGCATTATTTCATGAGTTCAATCAGATTGAGTCAACATCAGGTGGACTGGCTGAATGGGCAGCATTCATTTAGTGGCATGACGAGTTTGGCTTGATGAACGATGAGTTTAAACCCACACATGAGACCTGTGGGCAACACGAAAAGTCTCGTTAGTACAGCTTATTAATATTTACAATTCATAATTCATCAATATTTTAGAGTTGTGCATCTTGCTATCATCTTACATCATAAGTGTGATCTAGGCTGTTGGAGAACATGAATATAACCAAGCTTTAAAGCCCTGTTAGTAACAAAGGAACATAAGGCTGAAAACAACTGTTTAAAGAATCATTTCTGAAGGTAAAATAGCCCGCTATCAGAAGATGGGCATGTTGAATTATTTGATCTTGTTTTTGATTTATTTTTCCCAACCTACAAATCCTTTGGACCGGCCTCTGCAGAGCAAAGGACACACAGTTAACTGATGCTGATGATGTAGAAGTGAGAACTGTCAGCTACCAATCAACAATCAGAGCAGGCAGAACTTCAATTCAATTCAATTCAATTCAATTTTATTTATATAGCGCCAAATCACAACAAAAGTCGCCTCAAGGCGCTTCATAGATACAGAGAAAAACCCAACAATCATATGACCCCCTATGAGCAAGCACTTTGGCGACAGTGGGAAGGAAAAACTCCCTTTTAACAGGAAGAAACCTTCGGCAGAACCAGGCTCAGGGAGGGGCGGCCATCTGCTGCGACCGGTTGGGGTGAGAGAAGGAAGACAGGATAAAGACATGCTGTGGAAGAGAGACAGAGGTTAATAACAGATATGATTCAACTTGAAGGGCCTCCATATGCACTCACTTAGCCAATGATCTGAGAGCCATCTGTAAATGAGAACTGATGTGCCAACCAATTGGTGCGTCTAAATCAGGGGTCTCAAACTCCAGTCCTTGAGGTCCGGTGTCCTGAGACCTTTCCATGTGTCCCTGTTGCAACACACCTGAATAGAATTAGTAGGTCATTAGCAAGATTCTATAGGACTGCATGCTGAGGTGAAAACTGAGACATTTGATTCGTGTTACAGCATCTCATGAGTGAATGAACAAGGTGCAATAAAAGTACTTTTAGAAGTACATTTTTCCAAATGCTTACATTTGCTTAAATTTACTTGAGTAGAGTTAAGGGTTGCCACTTCAACATGCAGTCAAGTTCTACACTCTTGCTAATGACCTACTAATTTTATTCAGGTGTGCTGAAGCAGGGACACATGGAAAAGTTTCAGGACACCAGCTCTCGAGGACTGGAGTTTAAGACTCCTGGTCTAAAACACTCTTTATTATAATTTTGTGTTTGGTGGGAATCGTGAAGCATTCTGAGGTAAACTCTCAAAGATTAGACAATAAATTCAGTGTAATCCCGAGACACTGATGTATGCAGTGATTGCTGAGGGGGGAAAAAGTTGTAGTTTTTTATCTTAAATCATCCTTAAAAAATGTTTAATATAACATGTTGAGACTCAATCATGAAAAAGCAAAAACCTGCAGCAAATCCATGAAAACACAAACTGTGTGTTAAATCTTAAATCCTACCTGCAGAAAAAGAGTTGAGAAAATACATTTAAAGGTAACTTCTGCAGATATCTTAATAATACATTAAATATTGGTCAGTTTCAGCTTAGAGGGTGTTGCTTTGGTTTGAGGCGGTGCTACACAGAGAGACATAAAACATTAAAGTTTTGGATTTTAGTGCCAATCAGAACATTAAAACATAAAGCTGCAGCTCAACTAAAATTTTATCAGGTGCTAAAAGTTCAAAGTCGAGATAATAACATGGTAGCGATAACAGCCCACACGCACAAACTCACACAGCTTAAGACCTCCTCAGAGAGCAACCCCCATGTAAAGAACTGTTGTAAGTACAAGATAGACTCACTTTTACAACTAATTAGTCCAGGCCTGTTTTCCACAGTTGGTCCCGAATGACAGATTGTGCTAAAACCACCAAGCTCGCTTTTTTCTTTCTCTCTCTGTGATAATACTTACAGGTCAACTGTATCCAAGAGCATTTTCTAATTCAGCGCAAGATTTCAGCCTCTTGCAAGAACAAACAAAATGAAATGAGGGTTTTAATGTTTGCTAAAGCAGTAACAAGGCGCTCGGTGCGGTCTGTAATAGCCACAGATAACAAATTCTTATCGTGTCTTTGCCATCTGCTCTCCATAAACGAACCGGAAATCTGCCTGCGTTGCCTCAGCCTTTCATTCCTCAAATCTGTTGGCACCAGCTGGCGAGGCAGCAGCGTTCAGGTGTGCGCAGAGAACAAGCCACCAACCTGGCATTTCAAGGTCATACAACACCTCTAATTACCACAAATGCAAAACATATACCCTTTTTTGGGAAATCTCTGAAGTAATTCCAGCACTGTGAAAATCACACACATTAAAGGACAAAATGAAACAGGATGGAGCTGAAGAGAGAGAACAGAGACGAGCGGAGGTTAGCTCAATGCTTGGTATTCAGTGAGGATTAAAGGTAGTTAACGCTGACCTTTAAAAGTCAGAAACACTTCAGTTATGAGTCACTCGGCTCTTTTTCTTCGTATGGTTCGCGACCTCGATGTCTCATTCGGCGTAATAAAGCTGAAGTTGTGATGGAGGCTGCAGGTCTGGGACTTCAGAGAAAATACAAAGAGAACAAAAAGCTGTGAAATGTTGCCTTATTAACATTTTCTTTGTGTCTCACTTGCGTGTGGACACCTTTGAAAGGATCTCTGAAAACATGCAACAGTTATTTTTGTATATTTTATGTGGTTATGCTAACTGATACTGTTATTATGTACATCAAATATTATTTTGCCAAGAAAAGTTGTCGGGACAATGGATCTTTGTGTTTTTGGTTAAGTTATACTCTTTGAATGATGCTTTTCTGTTTGTGTTATATTTATAGTTCCTGGTCTCCAGGTTTCTGCTCTGTTTCTGTGCCTCCTCTGTGTTCCTGGTGAAGGTTTAAGTCTGTTCTCCATGTGTTGAATGCTTAGTCTTAGTTCTCTGTCACCACATCTTCCCTGTGTTCCAAGTCTAGTTACTTTCGTCTCTGTGCTTCATGTTCCTTCTGAGTCTGTCTCAAGTCTGCATCTTTGCAAATGTCTTGTGTTTCCTGTTTTACATTGATAGTCCTTGTCCCAGATCAGTGTGTTCTGCTTTGCTTCTCGTTATGTCAGATTAGTCCCGGCTGCGTTTCCCTCCTGTTTTCATTCCCTCATTACTCCCCTGTGCACTTAAACTCTGTGTTTTCCTCCGTTGTTGTTGCGTCACACCCTCACAGTGCTATGGGTTTCCCCTCTGTGGTCCTAGACGATTCCTAGTTCCTGGTTTGTCTTCGTTGTCCGTGAGTCCTGCATTTGGGTCCCATTCTTCCTGCTACACTGCACAACCTTGACAAAAGCAGAAAGAAAGAAAATATAATGAGAAAATTACAGTTATTTTTTTTAATTGTCAGTGCAGCAATAACGGGTTTTGTCTATTGATAACAGAAGAACAAATGACTTAAGAATCATAAAGACAGAAATAAATCATTACCTATAGAAAAATCTCACTTGGCTACTTTTCCCTGCTAATGCACTAATTCATCTAATTCCCATTACACAGGAAGGGAAAGCTACTTAAAAAAAAAAGGCACTATAACTAGCTTACTAGCTATATGTAGCTAAGCCTGGCAGCTAATTTCATTTTATCTTCTACTTGTGTTTTTTAAAACTAGAACCATGGAGAGGTTACTCTGGATAATTCACTAACAAGTTTTAATACTCAAGCAAATTTATATGTACTGATAACATGCAGTCAGCAGCGCTGATGCTTTGATTGACAGGTGTCCCAGTAAAGGCAACTGTATTTGGCTTACTGGACTCAGTGAAGTGGACCTCTCCACTGTGTCTGTGCCATTGATGACTTTTACAGCTTTGTTAATAATATTATGGGCTGCTGTGTCGTACACCGATCTGAGCAGCTGGTGATTAAACTAATATTTTGTAGCAATTTTTTAGCGATTTTGTAGCAATAATTAGCTGTGCCTGCATGTTTATGAATATGGCTCACTCCCATCAAAGTATGAGAACTTCTACCTACAAAAAGCTAACCCGCTAACAGGAAGGCTTCAAAGTGCAGATCAATTAAGAGTTCACCAGCTCATATTTTTCTGCTCATATCTTTCAGGAACCTTTTTTTTTCTCTTTCCATCTCTGCCTTTCGGCGCCAGCATTTACGGCCAGGGTTTCAGCTCATGGCTGGAACAGGACGTAGTGCTCCTGTGTTTTTAGTCTGTTGCCGGGTCCTGTTAGGACAGGAAAGCGGACGAGGCATGACAGAGTTGGGAGAGGAGCAGGTGAGCCAACACACATGAATGCCAAGTGGATGGAAACAGGCTGTGTGTGTTTCTTTATTTCTGAAGTCGCCTACATTTCTGTAACTTATAACTTATAACTCAGGTTTACACTGAGCTCTAAATTCACTAAAATTCATAAAATTCCAATAACTGGAATCTTTAACTTAATTTAAATATTCATAATCTTCATTAAAACAGCTTGCAAGAAATGCAGCAGCATGTTTTGGATTCTAAAAGTGTCAGAAAGGCTCAGGCAGCCACTACAAATCCTCGTTTACAGATAAAACTTTCCTACAAAATGTTGTCATTCGTAATTTCTGTTTTAAGGCATTTTCTGTTTTATTTTGTAATTTCTGATCACTTCAGTCTGCTGTTCAGTTCAGCTTTGGTTGATTGAACACAGGTGACAAGGATGGACATAACACTGTCTCCTGGTAAATTACCGTATATACAGTACATACGTTCTCAGTAGCATGCACCAGTGTCTTTTTATTTGCACCTGACCTTTGAATTCTTGCTTGTTTATATCATTTGTTTCATTGGTCGAACTCCTGTGAGTAACATCTGTTTGTCTTTCCTCCTGCAACAGTCACACAATATGAACACAAAGAAACTCACTGTGGTGTGAATGAGACATGTCGAGTCCACAGATCAAGGTTTTGGGCCATCTTTATTAGTTCTGCTGCAGCTCTCAGCTGTTTGCCGCACATGCATCACACCACAACCAACAAACGCACAACCCCAATACCCCTACTTATGGCTGGCAGGCATGATTGCAGACGCGCGCAGGTGTGTCCACCTTCACTGCACGGCACCGCAAACTACGCCCCACCACACTCACATTCCAATGAAAGAATTGCTTTTGCGTGATTTTTTTTTTCCACAAAAAACCTTCAGTCTTGTAATTATCACTGAACATTTAAATCCTTTATAATTCTATACGTGAACAGCCTCACACAGAGAAACATGCTGCCCAGTACCTGGTAGAGATGCACTGATTCACAAGGACATAAATGTATGGATGGGAAAAGAAAACACGCATGCACACACACACACACACACACACACACACACACACACACACACACACACACACACACCCCTGGCTTGAAGTCAGAGTGACCATATCCCCCCCCCACCCTACCCCTCTGAGGACTGGCATCACATTAACACCTCAACACCTCTGGCAGATGGCAGAGGAGGACATTTTGTTAGGGAAAGAGGGGGCAAGCCAGCCTATTTTAGGCTAGTTACGTTTTTTTCTGTCCCCTGTGGTCTTTAAACCTTTCTATTTTTCACCGAGATAGATGCAAACATTTTCAGCATGGCCAGGAGGACATCGCAAATTAGACGCTTGTGCATAATTCCATCACTAATATGAAAAGAAACCATTCTATACGGGACACGTGACACGTCAGCCAAAGCGAAGGGAAACATGATATATTTTGTGCAGCTATGATAAACGACAGTTAGAGGAAATGTCTTTTGCATACAAATGTTTCTCTGAACCATCATTGTTACATCTACATACTGTCTCTGTCCTTCACTTCACCATCTTCTCTGCCTGTACACAAATGTTGAAAGAAATTACCATGAAATTGGGTTTGAGTATTTATTGTCCTCAGAGGCTGCTGTACCCGTAAAAAATTATACATTTTAAATACATTTTATTTAACTTTACCTCTGTTTCTAATGAACATACTAGTGGTTATCAAACTCTGGGTCCACTCCTGCAAAATATATCCTCTGCAGCTTAATAATTACAGTTAAACAGAGCTGAGTAAAAGCTGTTATCATGCCAATTGTTATTCCACTGAAATTCAGCTTATTGAAAAACTAAGATCATTAGCATATTAGAATGTCAGTGCCAGCATTTAGCTCAAAGCACCTTTGTTCCTGAGCACAGAATCAGCGTGACTCTTAAATTTGATTTATTGTCAGTACAAGAGGTTGATGGCCATCCTGCAGAATTTGCTTTCACCCGCTGATATCACCTTAGCATTGAAGAAACATGTGCAAATAGTCTTTGTAACTGCGTTTACATCTCATCATTAACCTTGGAGCACATTTGCATATTAAAGCCTTTAACAGCTCTTTGCAAACCTGCATAAAGTTACAAATCAAATGAAACTACAGCTTTCAGTTGATGCTTTTGATCTTTTTAGCAGAATTAGCAGATGAGCAGAGCTAAAAGATGTATGATTTTTTTAAAGGTTGAAGCCAGATAACTTTACCTTAAGACCTTCAGTTTTAATCAGACTTTCAAAGTTTATGGTCAAATCTCTAAATCCATCATCTAACACCAGTAGAAAGGAGTAACAGCATGTAATAAATGAGTGATGAAATAAATCATGTATAAAACCGGATGTGGTCTGCTGCTAAAAAAGAGATAATAAAGAGGAAAAAGGAGAAAAAAATAGCTGCTGTTGCTGGATCCTTATCACTGTGTGTCTGTCCTCCAGTGAATCATTATAGTGGTGTCCAGATGACAGACTGAAATTAGTGATGTGCATGTATTTCTGTATGTCCACGGGCAAAATCAAATTACCAGCCTTCTGTGGAGAGCGATGTTTGTTCCACAAAAGTCCTGCAGTCCTGAAGTTAAAATTATAATGCTAATTGCCTTTGTCTTCTGTCAATAATAATGCCATCTGGAGAGGACGGAGGGAGGGTAATAAAGTTGGGACAACATAAATTGCAGCTTTTTGCCAGAGGGAGAAAAAAACAGGGTAGAACCAAAAATGGATCCAAATGAATTCTGAAAATGGGATGCTGTCATGTGATCAAAGCATAAATGTTTCATTGTCAATCGCTTTTGTGTAACAAGTTGTTTTAGATCACAGATCCTGACTGCTCTATAGAAACACATTTGCAGTGCAGCGGTTTTATGGAAATAATCTTTGTTCAAACAAACTTCTGTAAGACAAAGCCCATATGGAAAAGAAATAGTAAAAACTTATAAAAGACTTGCATAAGATGTGGCCTACTTCATATAGTGAATCATATAAGGCTTGTATGATTTAGTCATGAAAGTGGCCACCTGGCAGAGGCCCCAGTCCACAAGATCTTCAATGCACACCTCTGGCAGAGCTTCAACAGCATTCCAAGGGAGAACTGGGGACATTGAGGGACATTGAGTGACTGAACATGGTCCAAATGGACCATGTTCAACAATTCCATTGCCGAACCCGCTGCACTGAGCTGTGACCACAAGGTGCCTGTCATGGTGGTAACCCCCGAACCAAATGGTGGACACCAGAGGTGAAGGGAGCCACCAGGCTGAAGAAGGAGTCCTATCAGGCTTGGTTAGCCTGTGGGACTTCGGAAGGAGCTGATAGATACCGACGGGCCAAGCGGAACACGGCTTGGGCAGTGGCTGAAACAAAAACTCGAGTGTAGGAGGAGTTCGGAGAGGACATGGAAGAAGACTTTTGGACTGTCTCGAAGAGATTCTGGCAAACCATCAGGCGATTCAGGAGGGGAAAGCAGTGTTCTACGTGTACTGTGTATAGTGTGAGTGGAGCAATGCTGGCTTCGACTGACAAAATTGTTGGGCGGTGGAAGGAATACTTTGAGGACCTCCTTAATCCCACTGGCACATAGTGACAGTAGAGGCGCTGCTGTCACTACGAGGCACTGCTCCTCCACATTCTTATCATATGCCTCCTGGATGAGGTGTTCCGGGCATGCCCCATTGGGACGAGGCCCTGGGGCAGACCCAGGACACGCTGGAGGGATTGTATCTTTTGGCTGGCCTGGGAACGCCTTGATGTAACCCCGGACAAGCTGGAGGAGGTGACCAGGGAGAGAGAGGTCTGGGTGTTGGAGTCAAATTGTTAAATGTTGTCATTGTGTTACTTAAATTTGTAAGTCTTAGTTCAAACTGTATGATAAAAGACATTCCTTTGTCTCTGACCACCTCTCCAGCCAGTGTAGTAAGCTTCCTGCTCTTATAACCTTTTTGTGGGCAGGAGGTCACACAAACGCACCCACAAACACACACACTCACATACATACACATCCACACATGCACACACGCACACACACACACATACACACGCACACACACACGTACATGCACACACACCGTGCTTACACATACACACATGTGTTTACACATGCATACACATGCTTTCACGTGCACACACATACACACATAGTGCCTTGTCTTTTGTAACCATAGGGGGGGTTTACAATGGGAGGTGCTTGTGTCGGGGTCATTGTGTGGTTGGATTCAGAGTGCTTTCCTGAGACACCAAGCAGGCCTCCCTTGCTAGCAAGTAAGAACTGATTGAAGCTGTTCATCTTGCTTCCTTGCTTCATGAGGAATAAGTTTCTAAACCAGCGCAGCCTGTGGAAGCGCAGACCCAACACTGGGCTTCTCTACTTAGGCTGCTGCCTCCGCGACCCGGGCCCAGATAAGCGGAAGAAGATGGATGGCTGGATGGATGGATAATCTGAAAGTTTCAGTTTGCCCTTTGGTGTTCTGTCTCTCTTTAACTACTTTTGCTCTCTTCTCCTTGCCCTCCCTCTTTTATGTCTTTGGTATGTGTAAGGGGCTACTAGCCCAGCTATATAGGGATGAAGAGGCGCACAGGCTGCCCTGAACGACTAAAGGGTGGTGGGATCTGAGTCCGTGACCCCCCCCCCTTAGTACAGTTGACCCGGATACTTACTGCTGTGTGTGGTTTTAGCTATCTGGCTGCTACAGGCACAGAAGAAGGGCTCCGGGGACCAGACCTGCAAAAATAACAGTGCCCGGCGCGCTGAATATTAACACAGCCTCGCTTACCTCCATTTTTTCTGTACCTAACCAGACAACTCGGGTGCCCCTACTCCAAGGCAACCTGGGTTGGGCAGAAGCATACAACAATGACTTTTAAACAACGTGGCCCCTTTTATTTGTTCGGATGGCCCTCATGAACCAAGACTGATTATCAATGTTAACAGGGCCCTGGAGAGTAAAGGGCGACAGCAAGGAAACTCCCCAAGACCAAAGAAATAAAAGAAATAAAATAAAATAAATCAAACAGGCCGGTGTGACCCAATGTTGTCAGTTCTCGACCCCGCCCAAACCACACTAGTCAAAGGAAAAGGGCGCAAAGCTCACAATACAGAAGAACAATTAAGGTTAACACAGAAATTCTCTTATCTAGAATGGTTAACACAGTTTCATCACATTACTTGCAATGTCCAAACACACAAAAAAAATAGTTCCAGTCTTTACAGTTCGATCCAGTGAATTGTCTCTGGTATGTGGAACCAATAAACAGTTCTAGGGGTAGCTGTCGTGAACCAGAGTTCCAGTCTGTTAGGCTGTCCAGAAATTCCACAGCTGGAGCAGAACATCCAGTCTCAGGTTCACAAAAAAACAAAGAAACAAAGAACACAGAACTGTACCTTCGCCTCCTGAGAAACGGGGCGTGAAGAACCAACGGGCTAGAAAAGAGCGATGCTCTCACATACGGCCAGCTGGAGCAGGGTGAACAACCAGAACGTCGTCTGAGTGGCAGGGTAATCCAAACACCGCCGACTCCTGAAGTCCTAAACGTCGGGTCCGCGGAATGTATCGGAGCGAAGCCGTCCAACTCCCCTCCCGGAAACACGCTAGTCCTTTGCCAGGCAGCCGGCCGTGCTGCCTCGCTTTCTATACGTGCTCTACAGTCAAATTCTACCTATAGTGATGGGAAACTGAGGTGAGTTAGAAGGGAACGGCTGCTAGCCTTAGCTCTCGCTTAGCTCCCCTACTCACGCTATCTCCATCGACACTACACCCCAGCGCCGCGCCTGGAGGTCCGCTGTAACTGGAGTCGGATTCCACATATGGAAGGAAACTCCACATAGACTCACTGCGGTCCCGTCCGCTGCCCCACTAACATCCCGGTTACTCTTTGTTCGGGTTAGTTCTGACCGCGGGACTTTCCTGGTGTCTTCGGTTGTAAGGCACGCACGCACTCCGAACCGCACCCCGCTCATTCCCAACAGCGCGTGCACGTACTCTCCTCAATACATCACTTCCTCCTGGCTTATTCAGACAGGCTGCTAAAGGCCCTACATGGCAGTTTTCCACAAGTTATAAGTATGTGCCCTCACATATGTAGTGTGACCAATAGTTAGGAATGCTCCCAGAACATGACTCTTTAAACAAATTCAACCCCAAACAGCATGAGTAACAAGAAGAAATGGGAGCATGAGGACCCTCTAATGTTCTGTTTTAGGATGCTGATGCTGCAAGACAAGTCAATATACAGCAAGAGATGCAGCTTTCACATACACGCACACACTTACCGACTGTCCTTCCTAAGTCCTCCTTTTCTTTTTAGCAGATATTATGCATTTTACCTCCAGCAATGATCATTTCAGTTTGTAAATCAAAAACAAACATTCACAATAAACCTGTAGACTGAATAACCAATGACATCAGAGATGCGATTCAGGTGTTTAATATTTATACACATGCTTGTATCTGCAGGGAGGGTTTATGCAGCAGTCACACACAAACACAAGCATCAGCTTAGAGAAGAGTACATCATTCCACACTTTGCGTCACACAACCTCAGACACATACTGTACAACCACACACACACACATTAGAAAAACAAGCATGCCCTCTCCTGGGGCGATGGAAGATCAACTCTGATGATTATCAGAGTCCATTGTGACACACTTGCTTTTGTGTGGCTTAAGAATGTATTGATCCACAGATAATATCAACCTTGAAATGCATATGCTGTCTGAGAGCTTATGGGTCCGTTAGAGTCGCTGTTCTTGGCGTTGTGAACGCTGCTGCATGTATAAAAGTCTTCACATCTGCTGGTGCCACAGGTTTGAACATACAAGGGCACGACTGTGCAGGTTTTAATGTTATATCAGTACAGAAGCTCTGAGATCCCCACATATACAGAGAGGAAAAAAACTGTTTATTTTGCAGGTTTGATTTCTTCTTCTCCTGCACAGCACTGACGTGGAGCACTTCTCTGAATGGCGACACCTATCGTTCAGAAGAATACTGCAGCAAGTACCTGCACCCTCAGTGCTGGTGTAAAAGGTATGAAGCTCTGGAGACATCGCTTGCATATGACATGACCAATTCAGTGAGTATAAAAGGTCCTTTAGACAACAGTGCAAGGGAATAAGTGGTCAAACATTTTTTAGCTTTCTAACAAAATCAGATATTAATCTACAGAGGCACAAAACAAGATAAAAACAGTTAATGTGCTGCAGGAAAGCTTTTCTTAATGTTTTTGCTTGTGCTTTGCACTGAATTTTAACATTCTGTTTCAAGCAACATAAATATGAGTGTACAAATATGGAGTTTTTCATGGACAAACTGTGGTTAAGTCCAACAAAAAAACAGTTCCAGCAGGCTGTTCCTCTCACCAGCTGAGGTCTCAGTTTAATTGCCTAAATGAGCACTGAAGTTCTCCAGCAGGACAATGAAGTCTCCAGCAGGGACATCTTCAAGCATCCTCCTCTGGGACTCTATAGGTTTTCATACAGTGAACTGCTGTGAACTTTTGCTGTCAGAACAGCCCTGACCCATCAAGGCATGGACCCCACCAGAGCCCTCAATGCATGCTGTGATCTTTTAAGTCCTGTCAGCTATGAGGTTTGGCCTTCATGGATCGGACTTGTTTGTCCAGCAGATCCTACAGATGCTCGATTGAATTGGGAGGTCAAGGGCAGGTCAAGTCAACACCTCAAACTTGTTGTTGTGCTCTTCAAACCATTGTTGCTGCTGTGGCAGGGGGCATCATCCTCCTGAAAGAGGCCACAGCCATCAGGGAGCACCGTTTCCATGAAAGGGTGTACATGTTCTGACATGTACCACCTAACTAAGCATTGTTGCAAAGTAACAGCCACGTGGATGGCAGGACCCAAGGTTTCCCAGCAGGTGTTCCCCAAGTAAGCAACGCACACACATACGGATATCCACCTGATAAAACACTCAGCTTTTCATACACATTCACTCCTCAAGTCAGTTAGTGCTATACAAATTGAGTAATTATGATTACTGCAAAGACTCCTGTATCTAAATATATGTAAATAATATTTACAGACATTCAAAATGTTAATAGTCCCGGCTTTTACACTGTTATTTAAAACTTCATTATTTTCACTTCCTGAGCAGGAAAAAAGATTTTTGAATAAATGGAAATAATCTAATAAGCCATTTGGCAGGCGGAGTCATCCGAGGTGCTTTGTCATTTTTAGTATGCCTCAATTCAGGAGATGCCGAACCTTTAGCACTGGCGGTGTTAGTGCCTTGCTCTGCTCTCTCTCGTCAGCTGCACAGGAACATGTGAGCGGTGAGTCAGCAGATGCTCTGGGAGGTTTCATATCGCCCTGGTTCATATCTCCCGAATCCTCAGACCGATAGCCCACTATCTCTGGAGTGTCCTGCATTCCCTGACAGGTGTAGAGAGTTGGCTTCTCTTCACTGCAGAAATGGCATCAACTGTGCTACAGATTATTTTATTACATGGTTGTTGGCTGACTCGCACCTGAGCTGTGAGGAAAGAAAGGAGGGGGTGTTCAGCACAGATGAGCTGGACTCTTAAAGCTGCTCCTCTGCAGCTTGCACACTGCATGTTGTGGGAAATCATTTTTAAGCAACATCCAGGTTCTATCCATCCATTCCCTTCCACTTATCCTTATCAGGGTCACGGCTGCAGCCAGTCTATCGCAGGACACAACATCCTGATTATTTTATGACTCATGAGTTAAAAACTAACGTTAAAAAATTCCTGAAGTCAATGTACGTCAGGTACACTCAGCTGTGCATCACAGAGAAATGAAGCAGTGGGTTGTCTTGATGGATGCTCGATCCTCCAGGTTTCTGGAGTAAAGTCTAGACTAGTGTCTTTTAAACTTCTATGACATCCGCTTGAAGTTTGCTGCCTGAGGCGAATGCATGGTTGGTGCAGATGAGTCCACACACTCACAAAAAACAGGCAGGCACACAGACATCTGCACAGACCCTCACACTAACCATTCGATGACATCACTGGGACCTAAGCAGACCTGAGCAGACTCACGGACATGGAAGGTATAATTCCCTTCTTGACAGTTTCTGCACATTTTTTAAACTTATTTTTTTATTAATTTGTTTTTACGGTGGCAAACTCTGCACACATGTTGCAGAATTAATCATGAAAAGCACGAGGAAAAATGTTTTTGTTAAAACACCTGGAAAACGACAAGATTTAGTTGGCTGAGTGATGAACTGTGTGTTTTCAAATGAAAAGTTTCTCTAATGTTTTTAAACAACTTGTAGCTAGAGCTCTGGAAGCACACAAACTAAGGAAGAGATGTGAAAACAAAGACTGAAAATCCAAACAGACCATGACAGCCTCAAAGAAACTGAGTTACAGTCAAACAGATCTGTGAAGCGAACAGACGGACACTGCTGTGTTACAGACACTGTCACACATCTCCATCATTTACATGTGTGCAGGATTCTGTGAGAGCGGACCTCTGAGTGTGTGTGTGTGATTTTATTTCACACCCACTCGCACGCATAGTTCACTCATATCAAGCAAAGATAACTAAATGTGCATCTGTCAAAAACACTCTGCTCAGCAGTGTGAGAGATATGTGATATTGATGAGCACCGTCTCAAAGCCAAACAGATGTAAGCTGTTGAGAAAACACAAAATTGTTCAGTTCGCTGTCAGTTCTGCTCTATTGTCTCCATTTATCTATTGATAAGATGTGACCTCTGACCTCAGTAAACTAGCACTGATACAGTACCCACACATCCTCCAGTAATGGCTGTATCAGCAAATGCAGACTGATAAACAAGCTGAAATCTGACGCGTTGGTCTAAACCCAGTGAAGTGTTGGGAGCATAGGTGGGTCCGTTACTGTTTACAGCATGAGGAGAAATATTCCTCTCAGAAACTCGCTAATCTTATTTGCCTTGTGATGTTAGGATATTTCTGAAGTTCTGAGTGATGCCAGCCTGCAGGATGATGAATCTGGGACTTGAGGTGCGGTTACAACCAAGCAGCAACCTGAATGCTAGAATTGTACTTCCTTAAATGGCCACTAGAGGGCGACTCCTTAAATTAGTAAAAAAAAGGCTTCACCTCCACCACTGTTGGAGTCAGTGATCTCGGTGCATGGCTTTCGAGTTGTTTATCAGTTTGTTAGTACACATGCTCTCATTAGCATGCATCTGCGTTTATGCATTACCTGTGCAGGTGCGGAGCGAGACTAGAGACTAGACAGTCTATGGTAGAAACACATTTTTCGCACTCTGATTTGTAACTGAACAAAGTTTGAGACCTGCCTGTTACACGTGTTGGGTCCAGCTCGCTCCTGTGTGTCGGCTGTGTCTCCTTTTCTAAGTTCATTAAAAGATGCCATAAATAGTCTATGTTGTTAAATAACTATCTAAAATGTTTCATTAAAAGTTGCAGCTTGCATGATGTTTTGCTGTGTTTCACTATGTAAGCCTAAAGGCCAAGGGAAAAATAAGTAAAAACTGAGAGCAGTAAGTGAATCTGTAGGTGTTTTTAACACGCTTAATCAGCCAAATCATGCTGTTTATAAGAGTCGACAAGAGTGAACCTTGGCAGACCCACTGCAGAAACTGCAGGCGCAGGTTGGTGCCCGAAGGCCAACTGTGTTGGTGTGTCAGGGCCATTAAGGTCAAGACGTGGGAAACTTTGAACTGAAGTGTGTGAAAATATGCTCTGGGCTTAATTTTAGCTTCGAGGCTCAACACTCGGTTCATCTCGTCTCTCAACAGAAGCTATTTTCACCTGGAAGGATGTCACATGACGTGATTGTCACAAGCTTTTTTTTTTTTTACGTCTTGGGCAACATCAGACTCTCTCAGCACAACGCAGGAGTACATCAGAGCCAGAAGGAAGGAGGCTGGCTGTCAGAGGCAGAGAAATCAGCACGAAAAAGCATTTTATGACTAAAAAGTGAGCCAAAGCTGGACCTTTGAAGAAGGTTA